TTCTGTCCACAATGAAGTCCACTCACTGAGAGAAGTGTGGGTGAAGATTTTTTCCTGAGAGATAGGCCGCTGCTAGTGGCAAAGTTGCACCCCAGCCCAGTGCATGGCGGTAATACATTACCTGTACACTATGAGTTGTGTTAAATTACGCCATGCGTAAATACAGCATGAGTCAAAACCTTCACTGTATTTATGTTCTGAGTGTTTATATGTTTGGAAATGCCAGCCCCAGCATTTATTTTACCTATTGCTTTAGCGCTGATGAAATTTCTCTGTTTGGCCAACCCAGAGAAGAAATGTGGAAAATCGACAGCTCCCCTGCTTATTAATCTGTTTACAGTATGCCAACTCATTTGTTATGACGCTGTGTTGGTCTAATAATGTTAGCCTTAAGGCTAAAATAATATTACTTGTTTCTTTAAAAAAAATAATAACCTCATTATTATTGTTATTTTTTTACGCATGGTATAGCCTCTGAGTCATTAACAAATGACACGAGGAGAAAGTAAGCAAATAATTAAACAAACAAATGGAATAGAGTCCACCTTAATCCTGAAGCTTAACTGCTAAAGTTAGAAAAAAATTCCTGTAGGTCCCACACCCCGTGGCTTTTAAGGAATATTATTTAACTCACACTTTTGCTGCCACAGAGTTATGACTACTTTTAAAAGAAAAAATATGTTCACACGATACATATGTAGAAAATAAAAGTAAAAGCTTTTTTTTTTTTTTCCTATGCTTATGAATATGTCTTAAAGCTTGTTGTTGTTGCCTATTCTGTTCCAGAGTGGCCGTCCACTAACCTACTGTACGTTGGACAGGAATGTGCCAATTCTGCGCTTGAGGTTTGACTTGGAGTTGGAACTCATCCAGGACTTCAGACTGAATAGGAAGGCCACGCACGACCTACAGAGGAGAGAAGAGGAACATGGCTGGGGCTTTCGGCTAGAAGTTCTGATATATGTTTACTGGCCTGCCTATGGTCTGCCTTATCATGTGGTGTCATGTGTTTTTAATATCCCCAGGTCAACCATCCATAGAAATGTCCAAAAGGTTGCATTTGGGTCAATTTAAGCAGAGCAATATCCTTTCCAAGCCTGGCAAATCTGGACAGTGTGGGTCATGGATTTGGTAAACCTTCTGGGACACCCATCCTCAATAAAGCTGTCTGTGCAATAACGGTTGCGACATTCGGATTAAGCCCCCACCACTCCATAAGCTGAACTATTTAAATCACAAATCTATCTATTCAATAACCATACAGGCAATTTGTGACTCCTCTAGAAAATTCTTCTATATTTTTGTGGGCTTTCTGGGGTCTGTACATGAAACTTGGATTCTGAAAAGGAGCTCTTTTTATGCTGCAAGATGGTATCCTCCATGTGGGTACTTCATTCTGGGTGATGGAAGAAACATGTGTTTGGAAACAACCCTCACCCAATCTGCCTTATCACCCCCTACAGGAAACCGGTGAATTGCAGAGTGCAACGGAAGTTCAACCACCACCATGCAAAGGGGCGTTCAATTAAAGAAAGAGCCTTTGTCATAATGAAAACTCAGTGGAGGTCTGCACTTTTTAAGGCCCTGGAAATCAAGCCTACATTTGCACCCCAATTAATAGCATTATGTGTCTTTCTGCATAACATTTGCTTGGACAATGAAAACATCTTGGAATCTGATGAGGATGTGGCAGGGACAACATGGTCCCTGAACTGCTGTTAAAGGAACTCCCTGACCCAAATGAAGCACCTGGGAATGCCCCAAGTGACAGGCTTGTTGCTCTGATTTGATAATGCACAAGCCCTTCGTTGAACAAAATCCTGTAAATTGTTAAGTTCAGGCACGTGTTTGAAAAGTGTTATGGGAATTTGTATAAAATTAATGTTAACGGTGTATATTGTTGCTCTGAGTCATATTTTTCATACATTTTCTTAAAGTTCTATTTTATGTATGATAACGTTGCTGTTTGTTTTATAATGATGTGACATACTGTATAAATTCAATTTGGGAATCACTGTTGCCAGTAGGACTCACTGTTGCCAGTCAAACGGATTAGCCTGTTAAGCTGGAAGTTGTGCCAAAGGCGCAAAAGTGGCAACTTGAGGTTGGCAGCTTCTGGGCTGTTACATGACAGTGTTTACATTCCTGTTGTCAGCATGGGCCCAAAGAAGAATCCAGCCTTGGAGAATTTTGAGGAGATAAGGAAAGTGCTGGATTTCCTTTCTGGAGAAACCGCAGCCATTCGACCCGACCGAGTGTCTGACTTGGAACAGTACACCAAAAGTAAAGATTCATATCATCATCGGACTGTGGGTTAAGCCCGACTCTCAACGACAAACCGTGGATTCTATTATGTGTCAGACGTGTTTCATTAATGAGTACTAGATCAAGAAGAAACGCCTACATTGTGAGGAAGCCTGGTTCCTGAGGAAAAAGAAGAAATCCACTCCACATGGACCACGAAGCTGTAGAGGCTTCATCAAGGTATTGAACGAATGACCAAACTGACAATTTGGTCATTTGGGACATTACAGAGCTAGATAAATATGAGAAGACTCTTTGAAGAACATTTGGAGCACAGGTGATATCACATACAACTAACTTTCACCATGTCACAAGTTACAGGAACTTATCTGCATTACTTATGGACCACAACACTATACACCTACAACTGTTATTGCAATAAACTGGAACTGAAAACTTTAGAGCTATACGGATCAAGACATGAAAGACAATTGGCATCCAGATGACGACCATTTCTATGACATTTTGATAACTGCTCTACTACACAACTGATCAATCAACAGGGCAAGTTTCAAGTAGATAATACATTTTCTACATTTTCCAACAGCAAAAGTTTATATGCAAATTTGTCAACAACATAAAATACTCTGAACATGTTTAAACAGCCATTCATTATCATAGCCATCTCTAAAAACATGGATCATTACACCAGCAGGATCACACATAACAGCGCCACATTAATAGATAATATATTTACAGTATCTTAGGTAACAATACGTAAGTGATCAATAGTTATCATTTTAGTGATCATCCATCCAGTCTTGTTGTCAGCAACAATTTATTATATAAAAAAGGATAAAGTAACCCAAAGCTTAAAAAAACTAAACAGAGGAATCACTCAAATCTTTCAAAGAGGTACTTAGTGAAACATAACTTGGGAAAGTCCCTATTTTGCAAGAAGATAATGTTTATAAAGCATATGATAATTTTTCTGAATATCTTTAAAGTATTATATATGAAAACTTGTCCATTATTATTAATCTCTCATAAAAACAAATAAAAAATATAGAGATTTCATAAGGCATAGGTCTCACTCTTTAGCAAACTGTAGGTTGTAAGTGATCATCGTTGATCAGTTGTGAAGGCACAAGGCAGCTCCCAAATGGGCTTCATAACCACAGAGGTCAGGGAGACGGGTCAGAAGGATTAAGTCCTGACTTAAGACCCAGCTGGCATATCCCACTTTTCAAATGGCATATGGTAATTCTTATTTGGCATAGGCCACTTTTCAAATGACATATGGCATATAGCACTTCCCAACTGGCATATACCATTTTTCAGAAGTTGCATGCCAGATACCACTTTTTGGCTTTCGCTGGGACTCTCTTTTTGGGCTCTCTTGATAGTACTCACATTTTCTCTCTCTATTATAAGTCCTAAATTTTTCTCCTTTGGCCACATCCAGAGATTTTAGATTTCTGAATAATATTCTATGTGCAACTGAGTCCCAGTAGTCAACTTCAAGCTGCATGGAGATGGTCTTGTAGCCTTTATCTTTAAAATGCTTGACTATATTTCATTTCTGATCTCCTGAAGCAACTTTCCTTTGCTTCCTCTGGTCAATGTTGAGTGTGGTACGCTCCATATTGCTAAACAGCACAGTGACTACCAGTAGCACTATATATAGGCCCACTGATTGATTAAAATATCCCAGGCGCCTGTAATGCTAATTAGTGGAAACACCATAATTTAACATTTCCTTTTGGTCACATTTTTGTCTTTTCTAGAGGCACTAATTTAGTCCAAACTTGTTTCATGAGTTTATTTTTTTTTTATAATTATGCTGAAGCATGGCTGAAAAGCAATTTCTGACTTTCATAGCATTTTTATTCATTAGGACTTTTTCAAGATAACCGTTTCAGTGACCATTGTGTTTTTTTATTTTTTATAAATGATGGGTATCCACAATTTTGTCTGTGTGCACATTCCATTGCACACATTTCATACATCTCTCCTCACATGCTTCATATTTGTTTATGCTTGTTTTTTAAATTTTATAACAACAGTCTTTTATATTCACCAACATTCTAAACCAAGTGTCATACTGACAAAATATATCCTTAATCTCTCCCTCCTTTTTTTAATAAATAAAAAAAAAATTGGGCTGTACATACACATTTGAAAATGTGTCTAATTGAATCTCTACATAGTGTTTTTGCCTACTGTTAATTTACTTGGATCATTGATTACAATATTTTCACTTTCGCTTCATCTGGTCTGTTCCTGTTTGGCAGTGACACCATCCCAGAGATAAATATCAGCTGGGCTGCTTCCATTAACACCTTTATTTATATATTTTGCACTAGCCCTGCTTTTCAGTGTAGTCCTGTTTCTCTGACTATAACTAACTGTATGTGTTCTCTTCCATCCTCTGACATGGGAGCTGGCTATGTTTACCTGGATGTGTCTTCCCTGGACAGAACCACCTGTGGAACTGGTTGACACTTTCCTTTTGTATCTTTTATTATTTCTGTGTGTATGCTTCTGTCTCCTTGAACCCTAGTCGGCCTTGCAATGTCTTCTCAAACTGTTGGTCAAAAGTTGTTTACTAGCAGATTACAAAACACCCAGGAGGACTTTTCTTTTTTCCTTTACCTAGTTTTTTATTTTTTTTAGTTCAATCCCACATATATACTACTTATGATGAAAATCAATCTGTTTGATTTAATTCTCATCGAAAAAAAATGAAAGAAAGATTTAAATTTGAAAAGCTTGTTTATTTTTGATTATGAATGCCTGTGAATCTAAATCCATAAAGACAAACTTTTAAAAAATCAGCCCACTTGTAATCATACAACTTAGCCATAATAGTGCTGGATTAGTGAGATTGTTTCATTTAGATAGGATACATTTTTTCCCCATAAATACTGTATTAGATTCTAAATAAACAACTTATGTATTTTTTAAATGAGTAAAGAAAATCTAAATTTGTTTAGGTCACCTGAACCGCAGATAAGCAAGAAAATGGAAAAAATCAGCCTCTGCATAAGTGCATAACAAAAATAAAACTCCATCTTTTACATTCCCTCACTACCAACAAAGACATGAAGAACCAGAGCAAGAGCAGAGAGAGTCACGAAATGAGTGAAGTGACTCAGATTTTTACCACTGCCAAAAATACTATCGTCAGTGGTGAAAGGCATCGATGTAGCACAGGTGAAGGACAAGTCAAAGTCGGTGCCTGGGGAGGTGAAGTTCACAAAGCCTGGCTTCCTTCCAGTAACACTATCATGGATCCATTTCTCGTACTGCGACACTCGAGCGTACACTCCGGGTCTCTTTGGAATGGCACAACGATCTCCAAAACTCACCACTCCAGCTTGGACCCACACAAACCCATTGTATACCACCAGTGGTCCTCCTGAGTCTCCCTGTGAAAAAACAAGAAAACTTGTAAAGAATTGTAAGGAGGTATATTTTTGTTTTAAACTATTTAAACTATTTTTTTATTGTTATTATGTTATTAAACTATTTTAGTTCTCTTACGTTTTTTATGGTTTTCAAGCTATGACATTGCTTTTCATTGAACAAAATGTAATTTGCATCATGCTTAGATAAAATCTGATGATCAAATTCTGGTTGCCATTATTTCTTACACAAAAAAATGCAATACGTTTTCATTGTGCAATTGGTAAACAGGGTAAAATATAAACTATGCAGTTAACTAGTCTATCACAGAGACAGCACAGTCAACCATGTTCAACAAAGACTCATACCTGAGAGCAATTCAAAATAACAAGTAAACCTATTAATAATTAGTTTGGACTGTGAAATGAAAGCATGCATGAGGAAAAAATACAAAATATGCCAAGAGAACCAAAGCCATGATTCAAATCTAGAACCTGCTTGCTGCATGTGTCCTCATGCTTATTTAGGTTAATATGTAAGTTCCCAGAGCGGGAACTTACATATTACCCTTATATAGAAGAGGGTTCAGGAGCAAAGCAATGAGAAGTATGCTTATCTAGTAATGCTAATGGCCCTATAAGGGTGAACAGATTGAAACATGACGAAAGCAAAACCTTCAGTGGAGTACATTTCGATGAAGTTCAAAAATCTGATATTTTCTGTCAATGTGCATCATGTCAACCAATCAGGATGTTGACTGGATCTTGTTGTGAGGTACGGTGACAGGAAAGTTGAGAGAAAGCAATTATTAGAATCAGAATAGAAGACAAAAAAATCTTTTACTTAAAAAAGGATCAAATTATGGCTGAGGTCTGAAGGATTCTTTTTAAAAAATGCCAGGGAAAGGGAGGCCTTGGTCTGCCTGTGGGCATGTCAGCATTGGCATGTTTACCTACGTCAGCAGGCCTTCCGCATCCGCACAGACCACTGCTTCCGACTTAAGGCTTGGTGCACACCCATGAGATTGCTGAGGTAGGTGGACCAGCTGAATCAACACAACTTCAATCTGGAGTTTACAACTGGGCATAAACTATAATAGCCAATCTCCTGTCATTTTTGTTTTCCCTTTTATCCACCAAAAAGCCTTTGTATGGCTTGTCAGTTAGGTATAACATATTTGCAATGGGTATCCCTTTAAAAGAGAATTTTTGTTGTGAATCCCCCTTTTCTCTCATAATAAATTGAATCAATTAACATTTTGATAAAAGGTGCACCTGCTGATTATACTATCAGGCTCCACAGTAAAGGAAAAATGACAATGTTGGCAATTTAGCAGGTCGGGATTCTGCTACCCTTTTCCCAGCCATATTTCTTTCCAATGTGCGTTCGCTCTGCAATTGTACAAAGTTCAGCTACATGCCTTATTTTTAAGTTTCATGGGGTGGAAATGGAGCTAGCTAGCTTCCAGATGTTCAGATTGGACAAAGACACACCACTGTCAAGTGAAGCAAAGGGTGGAAATATCTGTTTCTTCACCAACAGCAGCTGATGTACAGATGTAGCTGATATAGCTGCACTGCTCTCCTAATCTGGAATATTTTTTAATTTACTGTAAACTTTTTTATTCTCTCACCTTTCTTTTCACAGTGGCTAGCATGCACGAGGCCTAGCACATGCTCAACAACCGTATAATATCTCTGGAGTAGACACGCCAATAGTTGTGGTAATTTTAACAAGAAAACTCCCCCAAATACAGATTATTTATTAAGTGTCCAACTACAGAGGGAAAAATTTGGAAAACTGTTACACCAACGTGAGATGTGCCTAACGTGTTATCCCTGTGGTGCGCTCATTCACTCTTATCATGTGGTGTGCACCTTATTCTCACATAATTGCCCAAATACAAGCTATGTAAATATTGATTGATTCCGGATGGCTACTAACAATCTGGATTTACAGATGCTGTGCAGATTTACACCAACTTCTGTGAGACAGCTGTATACCAACATGCACCGAGGTGGGTTAGACACTGGGGCAGATGCTGGTTTACAGCTAAACTTATGAATGGAGACAGAGACTTATTAAGGTAATTCATCAGAGGTTTAGCCAATATATGTGCGATGTTAACAGGCTGTGCTTGTTGAAAATAAGGCCCCATCCAGACAAACCTCGGTTTGAGTGTAGCTCTTTTGCCCCTTAAGCCCCTTTTTGGGACGATTTTCCAGTCGAATTTTTAGATCGGGCTGACTTTCAGCCTTATCGTGTGTCGTGTAGTGTAGAGGGGGTAGCGAGGGGCGATCAGCAAATCGCACAGTGGGCATGCACAAACAGCAATTCTTCTTTTTCTTCTTCCTCTCAGATGAAAACACAGAAGCATGGTGGGGGTGCAGCTGAAATGGAATTCTTCCTGTAAAATTGACAGACCGTAGTAGCCACGTTTGCTCAGCCATGTCTTTGTCCAAATATGTGATTGCCTTTTATCTTTAGGGTTTTCATCACAAAATTGTACAAATTACCAAGGCAGCGTATTTTGCTCTAGTGAGCTTCATATTCCTCTTCTACTTGTTGGGCTTCTGGATAGACGAGTCAGAGTAGCACTGCAGAGCTGAGTCTGACTTGGTTTTTAGACGTACAGTGTGAGCAGGCAGATCACATCATAGCGTCGTGCTGAACATGCATCATGAGCTGTGAACTCGCACTGTATGACGAAACCCTGCAGTTTCGTTGTACAGTGTGAGCTGTAGCTGCGTGCAACGATTGAAAAAAACGCGCAGTGTATACCCGGCTTTAGGGATCCCACCACTAAAAGGTGGCTACAAAACTGCCTATATTTCAAAACAGGTCTCATAGTGGGTAAGTCTCCTTTATGATATCCCTATAACTAGAAGGTACCGGTATGTTTTTTCATGTGAGCCAAAGGAGCCCTTACTACCCTTATACTGCATGCACAAATGAGCATCAAAAACGCTTAAACCCAGAAATTTGGATGCTAAGAAAATTGCTGATAAAACCTTGGTGTTGGGATCTGGAGTAGGGGTGGGTATTGCCAAAGAAGTCACGATTCGATTCGAATCACGATTCACAGGCCACGATGCGATTCTATCACGATGCATCATGATACTTGAATTATTGCGATGCATTGCAATATTTTCTCCTCCATCTTTTGTTTTTGAATGACACGGCACAGTATCCCGCGGCCGGAAATGCGTGTGACACAAGGCAGCGTGCGTCAACACATTTGCAGCGACATCTACTGGACTGGAACTTGTATTACACTTGTTTTTGGCTGATGTTCACCAACCATTCATGCAACTTTATTTATTCATTTTTTAAAATTAATAATCGATACTTGGCGTCAAGAATCGATGCAGTAGATCACGAAAATTAGAATCACGATGCATCGTCATGACGATTATTTTGCACACCCCTAATCTGGAGGTCTGTCCACTTTCTCCACCAGAGGGCGTACGAGATCTCCTGGAGCCGGAGCTGATTGTACCACCTGTCGCTCGTCTGCTCATCAGGAGATTTGTATTTAAGGAGGCAGAGGACGTCTCTCCAGCGCCAGAGTGTTTGCCAATAACGGTTAGCAAACCTGAGCCAACCAGCCTGTCTGAACCTCTGACTCCCTGAAAGCCTGAACCTGACCTGATCTGTTTTCTCCTCTTTGCTTCCTAGATTGAACCTGTCTGAAACCTGAAACCCTGAAGAGTTTCTCTACCAGTAATCTGCCTATCCGTTCTCTGAAGAACCCTGGAGAATTATCCCTGTCAAAGATCTGCCTGCCCGCTCTCAGAAAATACTGGAAGGAAACTCAAATCTGTTAACTGCCAACACTCAAATCAAGCTCTGCCCTGCACACTCTCATCCTGCAAATTACCTGGACCTCCACTAACTCCTCTGTCCCCCTCTGCAGTGAACCCATTCGTGACCAGTCCTGGATCTTTTTAATCTGTGTGCTTTTCAGAACCCACTCGTGACCAGACGAGTTCCCCTCTGGATCTGTTCATTCATTGTGCTCAAACACTTCAATAAACCTTTGAACTTTTCTCCTGCCTCTGAGTGTTCTGCATGTGGGTTAGGCACCTTAAGCCAAACATGACACTTGGTCAAGTTGCTTTGACACTTCAAAGCTCTGTATGTGGTTGTTATCTGCGGTTTGCTGCTGCTTCAAGCTATAGAGCAGCTTGGCTTTATGTATGTAGCCCTGGCTAAAACAAAAACAAAAATTATCTACAAGATAATCACAGGTTTATGTTCTCTGTATTAAAAAATACAGGTGAGAGTCATGTATTGTTGCTTTCAGGTTTTTTTGTTATCAATGTGTAATCTGAGTGATTATATACTTATCGTGACTGATTATTTTTATTCATAATGTGAAAAAAAAAAGAAAAAAAGCATTTCTGAACAAAACATGTGTATTTACATATGTGTAATGTTGTTTGTCTGACTGGATTCTTATTAGTCTTAAGACTATGGAAGTAGTAAAAAAACTGAGGGACAAGTGAACTCATCTTGGAGTGAAAAAAAAAAGCAGACCGTGGGATGATGGGAAGAAGGACAGGAGAAAGAGAAAAAGAAAGAGAATGGTGGACGCTGATGGAGACTCATTTTAGGAGAGTCAAAAACGAGTTTGGAGAAGGCCCCGAACTGTTCCAGGGTTTTTCCCACAAGTGGACTCAACCATCGCAGTCTATGACTTCTGAGGTGTGTGTTGGGGCGCGACAGAGGTGAAGAACCAGAGACGAGAACCGCGGCTGAACTGAGAGAAACTGCGGCTGATCGTGGGAGGCGGGGTGACCGTGTCAACCTGGCGACCGTAGCCCCAACGTTGCTGCGGAGGTTCTCCTGGGTTAAGGTGGAGAAGAGAAGACAGAGGGACGACCGGAGTTTTCGCGCGCTGCCGGAGTTTTGCACCTGTTGGGTGAGCGAGTCCGTTCCCGTTATATTCTGGGAGAAGAGGATTTTGTGTTGCGACGCACCCTAGCTTCAACAGGCCTGCAACGAATAGTTAAACCGGTACCGAACTGTGTGTGTGTGTGTGCGTGTGTGTGTGTGTTGGCCCACGTTTAGTGTTTAGTGATGTGTTTCTTTGGTGGTAAACGACTGGAGTACTGTTAGTGCAAAAACTTTGAAATAGGGTTTTGAGAAAAAGTGTTTAATCAGTTGAAAAAAAAGGGGGGGAAAAACAGAATTGTTGATAAAGGAAAAGTGTTTAAACTTTATTTCACATTGGTTTGAGGGATATTTAGGTTTAGAAGTTAAAAGCCTAGAGGTGGTTTATTTTATTATTTTTTATGTTTGCTGGTTAAAAAGAGGGTAGCCTGAGTCTGGGCTGAGCATTTATTTTTTATTGATTGTATATGTTCTTTTTGAGTTTTAATTAAACGGAACCGTTTCTGTAACAGGTTGTCTGGAATTATTTAAGTTATTTCCCTTATCAGTCAGAGGAATAAGTTTGGATTTAATTAAGGTAAACCTGAAGGGTATCTACCAGAAAATAAAGAACCCAAAAAGAAAATAAAAAAGGGGGCACCCCACTAGTTCATTTACATTCGGACCGCAGTTATTTCATGACAGGGTAGTGGGGTGCTACATGTACTTTATGAGTTAGGATTTTTAAATTTTTAAGTTTTGTGGTAAAAACTGCAAATCATACGCGCGCGCTGACTACCATTTATTCATCCTGTCCGCTGAACTACTGCTAGTTTTACACACATGCCTGGAAGATGTCTAGTGCTACTACCAAAGATGATGGATTAGGGTTAGGGTAACCCTAACCCTGTTACGATTCCAGTCTGGCGCGAGGATGACGTCATACACACTCCGCTTTGTTTTTTAACAAATATAAATATAAAAAAGAAAACCACAGATGTCTGGTGGGACAGTGATTCACCTACATGTTTTGAATGGTGGCGTACCATAAAGAATACATTATGGACAGTTTAGTTTGTGCCTTCAAGTCGTTGCCCAAAGGAAGACGTCACTTGGATATAACCTAACAGTATATCTTCAGAACGGCTCCAAATGACACAAAACTCATATGGGTGAGTAGAACATAATGTAATAACGTAAAATCAAGGGCCCAATGTAAAAAAAAATGGCAATCCCCTTTAAGCCTGGCTCCCATACATTTTAAGATTCATTTCAAAGTTGTACACCCCCCACCCCCGTTTCAAAAAAAAATTAACATATAAACAGATTTATGTCTGTTCCCCAGGTTCCAGTTGTTTTGCAGTCAATGGTAATTCACGTAGAGTGATATTATAAGGATGATATCCTTAATTCATATCAATTGCATTCTAGCTTTTCCTTAAAAAAGGAGACTTTCCAATGTTTCTTTTCTCTCATTTATCAGGGGGACCTCTCTAGTTTCTACCTGAATGGATTAAGCAGGTATGGAAATAGGATGGATGATTGGATGATAGGACAGTGAAATGGATAGATTTTATGTATTAGACTTGTCTTTGTCTTGCAGCACATACTAGAACATGTCCTATAGGAAAGAAAAAAAAATCTGTTATGTGAACACACACAAAATCATAGTCACCTGACATGAGTCCTTTCCTCCCAGATCAAAGCCTGCACAAATCATGTTCTCTGTGATGGTGGCAAAGTCTTGATTGTAGCAAGAGCACTTATTGTTTCCCACAATTGGCAGTTCTACTTCTTGCAGGATGGTAGGTGTCATCCCATTGCCTAAATGAAGGAATAATTTTGTGTTTAGGTGGGAATTTAGAAACACTACTGGTATCTAAACACCTTTTTGGAACTTACCAAGGTCCCCAAAGCCAGTGACCCAGCTGGTAGTACCATCATGAAAGGTGCTCTCCACTGAGGCTAAACATACAGGTTGTATGTAGTCTGTAAAGTAGACAGGAGATGAGAGCTTCAGGAGGCACATGTCATTCTCCAAAGTGGAAGAATCATAGTCAGGATGGCAGATGAAGTAGTCAATCCCCCGAATCACTTCGTTGGCGTTGGGATTTGATAAACTGTGGACACCCAGATGGACTTCAGCCGTAACGATTCCGCTTAAATGTACAAAAAAGAAAAACACAGTAAAGTTTTTGTGAGTTCAATAGTTGAAATTTGTTATGATCATATCTAAAAAGACATCCAATAGAGATTTTTTGTGTCAAGGAATTATGATTTAGCTTTGAGAACACTAAAGTGTCAACACCATCTGCATAGGCATTGCCAAACCCACACTCATTGTGTTAATTTAAATTAATTGATTGACATATATTTTTCATGACATTTGGGGACATTTCATTGACTTGCATTCATTTTATATGGCCTAACCCAGACCCTTACCCTTACCCTAACTATTACCAAGATGTACCAAATCCTAACCTAAACTGAATTCACACCTTAGTCCTAAACCTAACCCCGACTCAAAGAACAGAACTTTACCATAAAGGGACCAGTTGAATGTCCCCATATGTACCTGTAAGTCCTCGCATGTAGGATATTTTACAAAATACATCCCTCACATTGTAGGTAAAACAAGACCACACACAAACACACATATGTATTTTTATATAGAGTTATTGCACTGGGTATTAAATACTAAAGTATTAAAACTAGGGCTGGTCTGTTGGGTTTTAATCCAGAGAAATGTGAGTTTAAAAGATTAAAAGGAAAAGATCAACACAGAGACAGGGTTTTGTGACGTCAGCGTGTGCCGGGTGGAGAGAAGATGCTGGCTCGGAAAAAAACAGCACCTTCTCACACAGATCCCTTCATGGCAAAGCCTTTTATTAACAGTTTACAACATCAAACAGGCAGGCCTAAAACAGAAGGCCCAGTAATGATTGTCTGGGAGGATGCAGGTAACAAGATAGTGTGAATTCACCAACTGGCTGGATGGAAGTCACACAAACGTGTGATTCTGCCTCATGACCTACAGGAGGTCATAAAAGTTTATGACCCTTCTGGTTGAAACACAGGATAGTTATCACTCTAACATGGTCAACGATTAAAAGTTTTAATCGCGATTAATCTAATGATTTCCGTGATTAATTGCGAGTAATCACATTTTTATACGAAATAAAAAAATTATGAATTCAAAAGTAGTGTATAGCACAATTTTATTTGAAATGTTCTGCCATATTAAAGAAAGTGCCATAACATTTGTTCTGCAAACACTTAACATCAGCATTTGGTTATACAATAGCAGTTAAATAAAAACTGCTCCTGAGTCACAATCATAACATTAAAACAGGCAATTTCTGAGGTAACAGCAGAAACATTTTTTTTTTTATCAGGGAGCAGGATAACCAGTCTAGTACCAAATGTCCCCGTTAGAGTGAGGTGAAGCACAAAAAAAAAAACTTCACTGCTGGGATTTACTGTGCAGGGAAATAGTCTGTAAATATACTAAACGGCCTTTGTTAGCTTCTCTTGCCTTTGTTTATCTATACTTCTCCCACACACTGCATCTAACGTAGTCTGCTGAAGCCTTGCACCACTGTCTGTTTCTTCAAATGATTTGCTGGTATCAACTGTGTGTTTTGCATTTAGGTGATATTTTAGACTCAAAGTACTCCGGTGATAAGACAATGCAACTTTGCAGTGATTACAAATAACTCTGTCGACTGCGCCGTCTGAAAGAACTTTAAAATGAAAATAGCCATGTAATAATGCCGTACCCTTCTCCATGTTTGTTGGTTTGTTTATCACGCAATTTCTTTTCTTTTTCGGTTCCTGTACTTCCGGTTCCAGTACTTTTAGTTTTACCATATAAAAGCCTGGGAGCAACAGACTTTTACAGTAATAAAAGAAATAATAAAAACTGCGTTAATACGAGATAAAATAATTGTCAGCGTTAATTGATTGATGAGTAAACGTGATAATAACGAGTTAGCTTGCCCAGCCTTAATTAAAACGTATTAAAAACTACCCTTACTCTTAAACTGACCACAACAATTTGATCAATAACTTATTCAGCTAATTTTCTTCACTAAATGGAATGGTATAAATCAGTGTATGGGAACTGCAATAATAATAACAATAAAAGGGAAATCTCTGGAGGTATGCTGTCTCAAACAGATGCTTTTTAAGTCTTATTTTAAAAAGGTAAATTATCAGTATTCCAAACATCAGGAAGATGTGATTTTCAGAGCGTTGGAGCAGAGGATGAAAAAACTCTGCTCCCCATGGTGATGAGGCAGACAGGAGTCTCAATAAGGTGGATGGAAGAGGAAGGGGGTGGCAATCTGAAGTAGCTCTTAGAGGTATAGGGAACCAACATTACCCCTGTAAGACTGGAGTACTGTGATGAAATGATGGGGTTTCGCTAATCAAACATTTTGGACAAACTGAAGCTTATTGAGGGACAAAGAGGAGGATTGTGTAGAAAATGAAGATATGCAGAACAGACATAATTGTGGGAGGTGAATACAATCAAGGAATAGATTTAAGGATGACACACAGATGATTCTTGACCTAAGTGGAGGGAGAGATGGTTGAACTTTCAATCGAGAGAGAAACTTGGATACTTGGAAACACATTTCTTTCCTAAAGGAGGATCTTTGTTTTTTGCAATTTAGCCTTAGGAAGTTAGAGGTGAACCAGGCTTTTGGAAAGATGTTACCACAAGGCAAAAGGTAGATGATACAAAGTAGAGGCCCCAGGACATAGCTCTTGGGCAACTAGTTTTGATAGGGGATGGATCCGAGCTAAAATACTTAATTTGGAGGAGCTGAGTGGAGTAAGAGTATGGCCAGAGGCCATAGTCATTTTTGTACTGAGGTTGATGATGGACTGTGGAAATAGTGAGCACTGTATAATATCGGTCAAGTAACACTTGTGATAAATCAGGTTTAATAATGTCTGTTGGTTTGGTTTTCTTTGCAAATCCACTCAGGGATAAATACTATATCATTTTTTCCTAGTTTTCGCCCTGATATCCAGACAGTGAACTGTTCTGAACCGCTAGTAGAAAACAAAACTGCTTGTCTTTAATAAAGGTAATGATGATGATTAACCCACCTTGCTTTAATCACACCTGTCTCTATTCCACCAAAAGGGGATATTTCAACAATTAAGGACTCACCTGCAGGCAGTGGTGTTAACTTTTTTGTCTCCCCAAAATTTTCAGCTGGAATTAAATCAGTGTTCTAGCTGGACTTGCTCAGCAACATTTAAATATCTCTTATGAAGTAAATTATTCGTTTTTTTAATAAATATATATATATATATATATATATATTTTTTTTTTTTTTCCATGTATAGTGAGGAATTGAGAAAGTGGGAGAGTGAGTGTTAGAAATATTTTATTTATACTCCGTTGTTTTTTCATGGGTTGTGTTCTAATGAACTATTATGATGTATAATGTGTGATTCATCTTTTATTAACTCTTGCTTAAGATCGTTCCAGATAAAGGTCATGCAACAGACGGGTTGTGAAAGAGGCCTGGACATCCTCTATCACATGCTGGGTTGTAAAAGAGGCCTAAACAGCCTCTATCACGTGTTTCTTCTAAACATGTGTTCTTGGAACAATTCAATTGTAAAACAACCACATGTTTTGTTTTAATATATGTGCTGAGGTTTAAAGTAAGATCCTTTTGTTTCCCTTCCCTTTAGTTAAACCTCAGCTGGTGTAATTAGGGACATCCCCTTTTCTTCAATAAATAACGAGGAGAAAGCTGAAGACTGCAGAGTGGGGCGGAGATTGTTAACTCCGCAGTCTCCTTCCTATTCTCCTCACGAGTAACTAAATTAATTGTCTCTGTGCCTTTTTTCTTTCCCTGTATGTATTTATGATGTTTTAGGTGCTTAGACCTGACAGTGAGTGAGGGAGATGGATATTCATTTCTATGCTATCTGCTTCCTTTAACAAATACAATTCTTCTGATCTGGAAGTGCCCCGAACTTGAATTTGCTTATGGCTGTTGCAGTTTATAACTTACCTCCATTAAGGAAAGGGAAAATGAAGGCCCCTAATGTTATAATAGTTGTAACCATGCTAAATTTGTAAAATCTCACCTTCCTACACAGTGAGCAGCAGTGAGCACCCACTGGTCAGAGATCAGGGATCCTCCACAAAAGGAGGAACCACCAACTCGCTGTAAGCTTGCTTGCCAAGGCCAGCGCCCAGTAGTTGCATCCTGACCTCCAACGATTCTGGCTCTTGAACCTACATAACCACATTCTAACATGAAAAAAGAAAAGGAAAAAATGTACAAACTGTATGATTTGAGATAAATGTCATCAGTGTTTATACAATGTGAAAAAATAATTATCTCTAATATTCATAGTATTTTTGATAACCATTTGGTTCAACTTTCACCCATGAATGAAATGGTAAAAACTCATTTTTATTGAGGTTTTACACTAGATGATCTAAGCTCCCAAAGTCAAACATTATTTTAACACTGTAAGCAAATTCCAGATCCCCTAGATAAGTGTAAAATGTGTCAAAACTAAGTTATGCATATTTATAAATACAAGAAAAGTGCAAATTGTATTAGATTACACAAATTGATGTGGTTAGATTGTATTAATGTTGTATCTATATTGAAATTTCTTTTAAAGTGGTGGTACAAAATTAATTATACAAAACATTTTTAAACTAAACATGTTTACTAGTATGTTATAGTACTAAGGTAACCCGAGGAAGAAAAAATAAAATCATCTTACTGTCTAATCTGAGAAGAGATAAATAACTTAAAATAATTAGAAATTGCATTGGAAACTTACCTGGCTTTTGTGCTTGACAACCTGAAACACAGAACAAATATGTAGTTATTGATTTTTTAGGAAATAATCCCAAATTTTTTTTATATTTGAATTTTGCAGCTATATTAGATTTTGAACATAAAGACACAGACTGATTACAAAATGATAGTGATATCTGAAAAAGAGGATTCGTGTTCTGTTTTCTTGTTTGATATTGTTTTGTATTGATGTCAAATATTTCAAGGATTTTTCAAAATTACACACCATGCTTTATTTTAAAGCAGAAAAAACACCTTGCAATTAACCATAGAACGTAACATGCTAATTATGCAAATTACTGCTGCTACAAAATGTAGATATGAAGGTTGGAATTAATTAAGTAACTTATGATGTGGGTTTTACTTTAAAAATATGTAGTAGTGTTGAGGCTTATGACCTGCTCAGTCATATTTTTCCATAGGGTATGTTAAGATCTTTTCTTGAAAACCTGGTGTAGTTGTGCGTTAAGGCGAGTACTGAGCACACAATGTAAATGATGTGATTAATCTATCTCTGTTACAGGGATATGTACCTAAAGCTTTTAAGGTTGCTGTAATTAAACCTCTGCTTAAGAAACCGTCTCTTTACCCAGATGACTTGGTTAATTATAGACCTATATCCAATCTTCCTTTCCTATCCAAAATTCTTAAAAACGTAGTTGCCAAACAAGTTTGCGATCACTTACATAATATTCTTTTAGAAAGACTTGAATATTTTGTTGGAATTAAAGGAACAGCATTAGACTGGTTTAAATCTTATCTATCTGATCGAATTCAGTTTGTTCATGTTAATGATAGATCTTCAACATGCTCAAAGGTTACCTGTGGAGTACCACAGGGATCAGTGCTAGGACCAATTCTCTTTACTTTATACATGTTCCCAATTGGTAGAGTTATTAGACAGCATGGGATTAATTTTCACTGTTATGCTGATGATACCCAGCTATATCTGTCTATAAATCCAGATGAAGCTAACCCATTACATAGATTACATGTCTTGAAGACATAAGAACCTGGATGACTCTTAACTTTCTGCTTCTAAATGCAGACAAAACAGAAGTTATAGTTTTTGGACCAGAGTCTCTGAAAAAGAAGCTGATTAGCCAGTCACTTCATTTGGATGGGATTAAACTGATTTCAGATAATAAAGTAAAAAATCTTGGTGTTGTTTTTGATCAGGACCTGTCATTTAAATCCCATATCAAAGAGGTTTCTAGAATTTCCTTCTTTCATCTGAGGAACATTGCAAAAATTAGAAATCTCCTGTCCAGGGGTGATGCTGAGAAACTAGTCCATGTATTTGTTACTTCAAGGCTGGACTATTGTAATTCTTTACTATCAGGAAGTCCACAAACTGTAGTTAAAAGCCTTCAGCTGATCCAAAATGCTGCAGCCAGAGTTCTGATGAAAATTAAAAAGAGATATCACATCTCTCCTATCCTGGCTTCTCTTCATTGGCTTCCTGTTAAATCCAGAATAGAATTTAAAATCCTCCTTCTCACATATAAAGCCTTAAATGGCCAAGCTCAATCTTATATCAGAGATACGATTGTTCCTTATGTTCCTAACAGAGCACTTCGCTCTCAATCTGCAGGTTTACCAGTGGTTCCTAGAATTTCTAAAAATAGAATGGGAGGCAGATCTTTTAGTTATCAGGCTCCTCTCCTGTGGAACCAACTACCAATTTTAGTCCGTGAGGCAGACACCCTGTCTACTTTTAAGGCTAGGCTTAAAACTTTCCTTTTTGATAAAGCTTATAGTTAGGGTGGCTCAGGTTATCCTGAGCTATCTCTATAGTTATGCTGCTATAGGCTTAGACTTCTGGAGGACATAGGGACCCCCATTTCATCATTCTGCTTCATTCTCTCTCTGTTCTCCTATTCTGCAGAATCTGTTAGTTCAATCTCTAACGTTCTGCTCTCTCTGCTTTTCCTCAGAGTAGCTTTGCCTCGTCTGTTCCTGTTTGGCTGTGACTCCATCCTGGAAAGAAACATCAGCTGTGCTGCTTCCATCAACACCCTTGTTTATAGATGTTGGAGATCGGCCTGTTTTCCAGTGTGGTCCTGTTTCTCTGACCGTGACTGAGTGGATGTGCTCTCTTCGTCCTCTGGCATGGGAGCTGGCTCGGAGCTCGTCTGCCTGGCTGTGTGTTTCCTGGACGGGGCCGCCTTTTACAGCTGCTTTTTGTATCTCTGCTTCTGTCTTCTTGAACCCCAGTCGGCCTCAGCAGATGGCCGCTCACACTGAGCCTGGTTCTGCTGGAGGTTTCTTCCTGTTAAAAGGGAGTTTTTCCTCTCCACTGTCGCTACAAGCATGCTTAGTGTGAGGGATTGTATTTGAGTCAATGAGTCAATGCAATCAACTGGTTTTCCTTAGATAGAAAACTTTGTATCAATTTGTCTGTATGATCTGGTTGAACTGTAAAGTGCCTTGAGATGACATGTGTTGTGAATTTGGCGCTATATAAATAAACTGAATTGAATTGAAATGTCATGTAAAGGGAAACCTATTTCTAATGCTATATTTTGTTGTCTATATTGTTGCCTAATTTCTGTCAGTGTCAGTTCAAGGATGCTCTGTTGCCTAGCAACTAGGGCTGGGCGATAATTCAATAACGATATATATCGATCGATAGACGTGTGGCGCAATAGAAAAAAAGAGAGTCGATAAAAGTTCGATATAAAAGAAACGCTGCTTTCCTTCCTTCTCATTGTAGCCTAGCATGTAGGTTTATGCTAGTCACTACTTCCTCCAAAACCAATCACAATCGTGGACCCAGGCACGCCGTCACCAAGCACCGCCCTCTCAGACCACAACACAGAGCACATGAAGATGTGCTCTGTGTTGTGGTCTGAGGTGGAGGAAATTGTTTCAAAGAAGGGTTTTTGTAGTTCGCCAGTTTGGCAGTATTTTGGTCATGGCAAGTCGGACAAAAAACAAACCACAGTCATCTGTAAAATGTGTAGGGAACCAGTGAAAACGAAGTCGGATAACACAACCAACTTTTTTTTATCATCTCAGCCGCTCACACCCGCAGGAGTACGAGCTGTGTATGCCCCGGCGCGGCTCTCCTCCGAGGAATCTTCGGGAATTTCGGGAAAATGTATATATATTTTCAATTCTGGGCAGTTTCCCACGTAGTTCTAACGATTGAGAGAAAAATGCTGAGGGGCCAGAAACTTCAAAGTAATAACTCAGGTTAAAGCAGGAATGCGGGTGGCGCCCGGGGGATGTGGGGGGTGGGGGTCCATTTATTTATTTGTTATATTTATTTTGGTCACTTTTCTGGTCACTTCAGTTTATTCTTTGTCAGTATTTAATAACATAACTCAGGTCTTTTAAGTTATTTTTCTTTAGAACAATTCTGTTATGGTTAAAAAAGTTGATTAAATAAAGATTTTATTAGAAGTCTGTGTTTGTGTTCTTTATTATAATTAAATCATTTAGCAATATTATAAAAAGTCCAGGCAGAGCTGCACATAAAATATGGTTTCAAATTTTTTCAATAATTATCGATATCGATCAATATGCATTTTTTTTTATCGATAAGGTTTTTTTTCTATATCGCCCAGCCCTACTAGCAACCATGTCAGTTGACACAGAGACCAGTCAAAAAATGGGTGTCGAACTTCTCACTATTGTTCTGTATGCTAATTACATTTTTGAGTAGGTTCAGCAGCAGTACCATTGTTCCAGATAACAGATTGTCGTTCCTGCAGAGATATTGGAATCTGAGCTTAAATGTCAGCCAAACAAATTTGCATAGGGAATGATAAAACCTTTTCTGTAAACCAAACTTTACTGACATATCTGACTGAATAATAATTTTAAAAAAATCATTAATTTAGGACAAAACTATAAGACTTTCAAAAAACGTTAAAAACAAACTATTGTTGGGATCTGGAGATCTGCCACCTGTCTCCAGCAGAGAGCGCTGTGGGTCTCCTGGGCTGGAGCCTCCCGCACACCTGAGGATCATCAGCCCATCAGGAGACCTCCTACATAAGCAGCAGCCAGACCTGTCTTCGGCTCCGGAGTGTTGACCAGTTTTGGTTAGCAGAACCTGAGCCACAATCTGCTCCTAGAATCTCTGTCTGCTCTGGAGAGTAACTTTGATCCTAACCAGTCTCTGTCTTCTCTGCTCATAGGAAACCCGACTGAAGTCTGTAGCTCTGGAGGAGCTCATACTTGGAAACCTGCCTGCCTGCCCAGCAAAGCCAAACCTGAAGATTCTCAGTCTGAATTCTCCAGCAAGTTCTCAAGGGAGGACTAGGAGAACAGCTCAAGGTCTGAACCTCGTTAGCCTGAAGCTAAGACGCTGCCGCTGCTAAGCTCTCTGCTGAATCCTCAGTCTCTGGACCCAACCAGTTACCTCTCTCCACCGATCAGTCTAAACCTAAGCAGGTACAAACCAGATTCAAACCCCTGACAAGTCATCACTGCTACCTGGCTAACCAAACTATCCCTCTCTGCAGATTACTCTGTGATTCCAGTCCCGGACCTGTACCAGAACCTGTTCATTAAATACTCTTGTGTGCTTCTCCTAAATAAACTGTTAAACTTTTACTCCGTTTCCTGTGGTGTTCTGCATGTGTGTTTAATCACAGAGACCCATCATGACAGAACACTCCGGCCATAAACAGAACCCAGCAGACCACCTCCGGAAGTTAATAGAGGAGCAAGCTGCCCAAATTCAAGGACATGCACTAACCTTCCGTGAGTTAAACACGCATATCGAGCACCAGAATCAAGTTTTACAGGAATAGGCTGGCTATATGAGAAATGCTAACGCAGAGTCTGCCGAACTTCCCGTTTCGGAGCCACTTCCGCCTCAAAGGTCAGAAACTGTCACGTCACTTCCGGAATTCCGTCCGGGCCTCCCTGAAAGATTTTCAGGTACTCAAAGTAAATGTAAAGGATTTTTGTTCCAGTGTCGTTTAATTTTTGAACACTCACCCGCCAGTTTTTCCAATGATAAGAAGAAAATTGCCTTCATTCTTTCTCAACTCACTGGCCGAGCTCTTGAATGGGCGGAGGCTAGGTTTCCCTCTGAATCCAGTTTTTCATGTACCTTTTCTGAATTCATAACTGAATTTTCTCTGGTTTTTAATCAAGATTCTGACAAAACTATTGACTCCCGAGCCTTGTTTAGTTTAAAGCAGGGAAATCAGACGGTGGCGGAGTTTTCCATTGACTTCCGGGTTAAAGCCGCAGCCTCAGGCTGGAATGAGTGTGCACTTAAAAGTGCCTATTTTAAGGCTTTAAATGAAAACATCAAGGATGAACTCGCCACAATTGACGAACTAGCTAGTTTGGAGGATCTAATCAGAATAACCATCCGGTTGGATAACAGACTCCGAACTAGAAATAGTTCTAGGCAAAGAAGCCTAAATTTTTCTGTTTTTTCTAGATCCCCAGAGCCCAATACCAGACCAAGGATTAAGAATCAATCGTCTCCTGCTCCTACTGATGCCATTCACTTTTTCTCCTCGTCCACAGAAGGAGCTGAGGTCGAACCCATGCAGATTGGGCATACAAGGCTTTCCCATGAAGAAAGACAACAGAGATTCAAAGGGAATTTGTGTCTGTACTGTGGTGAGCCTGGCCACTTTATAGCTACATGCCCGGCTAAATCAAAAGCCAGGGTCCGTCAGAGGATGTGAGGAGTCTGACGGACCATCTAAGATCTGAGAAATCTCCTCACTTACTGTTACCTGCGACTTTATTTGTTTCTGATCAGACTCTCACATTGTCAGCTTTTATAGACTCTCGTTGTGAGAGACAACTCATTGATTCAAATCTTGTTCAGCAGCTAAAGATTGAGACTATTCCGCTGAAAAAGCCTCTCAGAGTTTCAGCTATTGATGGGAAGAAGCTGCATCAAGTCACTCATCAGACACGACCATTAGAGCTTCTTATCTCTGGAAATCATCATGAGACCCTAACATTTTTTGTTTTTCCCCTCTGCATGTTCTTCCCTGGTGCTAGGATTCGAGTGGTTGGAATGTCACAACCCCAATATCAACTGGGCTGAATGCCACATTGAGTCTTGGTCCACTTCCTGCCACGTCTCATGTCTTCGTTCTGTGGCTCCTGCTATTTAGTCCCCTAGAGGTAGGGGGGAGATGGACTCTCCTGACCTTTCTTCTGTTCCTTCCGAGTATCATGATCTGGCACCAGTCATCAGTAAGGTCAGTGCGACATCTCTTCCACCTCATAGACCATACGACTGCGCCATTGATTTATTACCAGGAGCTCCCCTCCCCAGCAGGAGACTGTTCAATATATCTAAACCTGAGCGAGAAACCATGGGAAAAATACATCAATGAGTCACTTGCTGCTGGTATTATTCGACCATCCTCATCCCCTCTCGGTGCTGGTTTCTTCTTTGTGGGAAAAACGGACGGTTCTCTCCGACCCTGTATTGACTAATTAATCACATTAATGTATTGATTAATAAATCACAGAGACCCATCATGACAACTATTGGACTTTGTTTTCCAAGTTTGAAGAAATTTCTTTCCCATCCAGGAAGCTTTTTCCATTCAAAATGTCAGAATTAGAGTTGAGTTCGAAGCTTTATGGAGTAGCCCAACATAGCTTTGTTCTGGCTTAGAAAACATGCAAGTTGAACCTAAAATGGCCTTGGTGATGGGGAGTCTTTAAGGTCTTTGGTAGCCTGCAATACCAGATCCTGGCCTTTCCCTTTAAAAAGGGGGGGGGGGGGGGGGGGGGGGGGGGGGTAATTAGGGGCATTGTTGGCCTGGCTGACCAGGCAAGATATCTTGGTCCCCTGCATGGCGATGAGAATTATGATAGCATGAAAAAATCAACTCTATCGCTGCATTGTGGGTTTTTTAGAACTGAAACCTGAATCCACCACCTGTGTTTAAGGTTGTTTGTCTCTTAACATAAATAGCTTCCTTCACATTCCTTTCAAACCACCTGTCAGCTGTAGATGTACAGCTGAGTCTTGTCCGGAGGAGGTAGCTCTCCTGTTTTGAACCATGCTTCTGTGTTGAGGTTGTTTGGTTTTTAAGGGGTCTGGGGGTGTTGTCTTTAGCCTAAAACTAAACTAGCACTAGTTTGGATAAAATCCTCTTCATTTTTTCAGTGACTTCAGCAGCATATGGGATGGCAATGTTTTGCATTTCATCTTCTCAATGTTATGTTGTGCTGCGTGTCTTTTGGATTTCCTTGCTGATTTGACAAATGCCCAGTTTGGATATCCACAAGTTTGAAGAGTTTCTTTTATGTGTTTCTGTTCTTTGTGCTTCCCTTTTGTTTCTGTAGGGACATGCTCGGCCCTGTGTCGGTTCTAAAGACCGAAAGTTTGTGTCTTCGTTGCTCATGACAGTGATTCGCCTGCTACCCGCCACTCATTTCTTTGCCAAGAGGATATTTTGTTTTAACTGCTTTTTTGTTTCCAAGTTCTTTCATTGTGATGCTGTATTATTTAAGTTTTTTTTGGCTCTGAATTAAATCATGTCTTCAATGAAAATGCACATAATTGTTTCTCAAGTAGCTGATAGGCTGCTGGTTTTGTAGGATTCAGATCATTCTTGAAAGCTAGCATGCCCCAGAACTGCTTTGCCGTTCAGCATACGTGATGGTGACTAGCCTTGCTAAGAATGAATCCAGCTTCCTGGTACCTGAAATTGAAGGTTAAACCTGAAGTTGTCTTGCTATCCCAGTAACCTTGCTTCAAAATATAGGACTCTGTTGGTTTTGGTTTTAATTATAACTGCATCTAGCAAACATAAACAAATCAGAAACTGAACTTTATTTCAGCGGTATCAAAGGATTTACAAGCTGTGACTGCCTGCACGGGGAACGGACTGCTTGCAGGTGAGAGCTGTCTAAAGTTAAGCTGTTACTTTGACTTGAGGCGTGTTTCTCAGGTGAGAGCCGCTATACTGTAACAATTTTCTATGATGGTGGTGCTGCTCCATGACCCAGGACAAATGGTTGTGTATTTTCCTTTCTCTGTCTTTAGCGCAACAAGCCTTATGTATTGCAGCTATGTAGTTTAAGAATTAAGCAGTATTTCTTTACAAAAATAATAATAAAAAAGACCCGACCCTCTCCATAAATGGAGAGGGTTGGTTGTAACTTATGGTGACATTTCATTGACTTGCTTTTATTTAAGATCGCCTATTACCTACATACACTTAACCCTAACCCTTACCTGAACTGCATTGTCACCTAGGTCCTAAACCTAACCCAGGCTCAAAAAAATCCTGGTCCCAATAGGGACATAGGTCCCCATGAGGTGACTACGTAAATAGATTAAGGTCCCAACACTGGCATTAGTCCTTACACACACACCTTTGGCCTGGAACGATTGACCGAGTGTTTCCCCCTGCAGCTATTATAATAGCCCTTCTGTTTAACTATTTGACACAGACTGGAGTTGTTGCCTATTACCTTATTTTTGTTCAAATCTTGATAAACATATACTGATGTTTCCCTCTTATCATTGAAACTGCAGCCCCTTGAACCATTATTTACATGGAAAGCCCAGCGACCAGGTACATTGACGTTACTACCATGACTTAAAAGGGAGCTGTTGAAGACTGTGTCATTAGAAAATGATCCATGGATGGTGAAGTGGTGAGAGGATTGGGCTGTGTCATATCCAGCCTGACAATGACACGTTTAGAAAAAAATAATTTCAGGCATGCTTTATAAAATAGATACTGAACTGTTAAAAAGCAATAGAAATTTTCAATGCATATAACTGAAATGTCCTTACCTCTACAGCGATCTCCTTGGGTGCTAGGGGGTTGTAATTCATCAACACAAAAGAGTTATTCCCATTGGAAGCCAAGACGGCCTGAAAGGTTGATTGCTATGGCAAAGGGAAAATTTTTACAATGACTATGCAGATTAAACAGTTTATTTTCTGCAAATTACATCAACTAGATTTCCTTACTGTTTCAGGCATTGAAAAATAGGGAACTTTATGCCATGTTGCAATAAAGATCCAGGTGGCATAAAAGTTAATTTGTGGGAAGTAAGAGTTGATGTCCTGGGTAACTTGTTGGAGAATAGAGCCGTTGGTATACTGAACATAGCAGATGTTACCACTTCTACTATTGTCTAAGTCAGTCCAGTAAGGAGCAATGATGTCTCTACATCCATACATTGGAAAACGTTGGGGGAAGAAACTACCCCATGGTTCTTCAAATGACAGATGTCCATTGTGATTCACCTGCAAATAAACCAACACTCAAATTTGATGTTGGTGTTTATTTGCTTTTTGGTCAATGTTTGAATATTGTCTTCAAAATTAAAAAGAAAAGCCTTGAGGTCTAAGAAAAAGATGAACATACATAAATCTGAACGTAAGATTTGCCAAAATAGTTGAAGGGTTGGAGGAGTGAAATTCTTGGGGAGCTTCCATCATCGCTTCGAGAGCTTGTTGTTCCACAAATTTGGTAGAGGGGTCCTGAAAAGTTCTTCCTGTGTTCTTAAACATATTCATAATATGCAAGGTTGAAACATTCACTCAGGCTTGTAATTTCTGTTCAAATGATATTGTACTGATGGATTATATATTATTTTGTGATAACAATAAACAATGCTTGGTGTGAGTGGCTTTCTGCCAAATACCCGCACCGCGACTTCACAGCAGCTGCTGCACAGTGTTCATTGTGAGTCTAAACGTATCCCGCTAAGGTTTAAATCTTTTTTATGCATTCCATCACATTGGATCTTGGCATTTTCTTCAAGATTTTCACAACCTTGATGTGCTCATTTTTTTTATCCACTTATCTTGTTTACCCCCACGCACTTGTATGGTACTGTATCTGCTTTTATGGCAGACTTTCATAAAGGGTTTATGTTTTCAAAATAATCCAGCAAAAAAAAGTGCAAAATATGATGCTTTCTTCTTACCAATGCAGTCTCTTGATCCATTATCTAGGCGGAAAGCCCAGCGACCGGATACATTGACGTTACTACCATGGCTTAAAAGTGAATCGTTGAAAATTGTGTTATTAGAGAATGATCCAACAATGGTGGAATGGTGACAGGAATAGGCTGTGTCATATCCAGCCTGAAAATAACAGATGCATAAAAAATTGATTTTAGTCATATATAAGGAAATAGACAATGGATATTGCAAAGACAAGACAAATACAAAATATTCTATATAACTGAAGTGCTCTAACCTCTATAGAGGTCTCCCTCGGTGCCAGGGCCCCATAATTCAGAAGCACAAATGAATAATTCCCATTGGAAGCCAAAACTACCTGAAAGGTTGATTGCTATGGAAAAAGGGTAATTTTTACAATGATATTTAGATTAAACATAGTTTAATATAAACTTGCACTGCAGAAATTACATTGAATAGATTTCCTTACTGTTTCAGGCCTTAAATAATAGGGAACTTTATGCCATGTTGCAATAAAGATCCAGGTGGCATAAAAGTTAATTTGTGGGAAGTAAGAGTTGATGTCCTGGGTAACTTGTTGGAGAATAGAGCCATTGGTGTACTGAACGTAGTAGATGTTACCACTTCTACTATTGTCTAAATCGGTCCAGTAAGGAGCAATGATGTCTCTGCCTCCATACATTGGAAACGGTTTTGGTGAATAACTATACCATGGTGCTTCAAAGGTCAGATGTCCATTGTGATTCACCTGCAAATAAAACAACACTCTAATTGGATGTTGATGTTTATTTACTTTTTGGTCAATGTTTGAATATTGTCTTCAAAATTAAAAAGAAAAGCCTTGAGGTCTAAGAAAAAGATGAACATACATAAATCTGAAGGTAAGATTTGCCAAAGTAGCTGAAGGGTTGGAGGAGTGAAATTCGTGGGGAGCTTCCATCATCGCTTCGAGAGCTTGTTGTTCCACCAGTTTGGTAGAGGGGTCCTAAAAGATACAATATAGATTATCTAATTAAATTAAAATTCAATATTGTATGATTTAGTCATTTGTGTTTTAATTTGAAACCACTAATGAAAATATGAGAAACAACAGTTTTTTTCATTTTTATTTAGTTTCATAAGATAATATAGAAACATGGAGAATATTTCCATTTTAGTTTTTCATTATGCCATACAGTACCAAGTCAAATATATTTAAAGGTAAATGAATAAGGAATGCATATTTTTTTCTTTGGTTATTTCATTTTGAGCTCTTATACCATCTCTTCCTTATTAGCGCAGATTACCCAAGCTTTTAGAGGTGAATATTTGCAAGCTGGCTTTATTTAATAAATAAAATCAGTGGTTTTGATGCAGAATCTACTCTTCAATCCCAATTCTTTCAAGTTTAAAAAGTAATTCTCGAGTCAAATCTATAAAATAGTCCTTTAAATAAAAGGTTTGTCAAAATGTCCTTATTCAACAGGAACTAAAGGAACTAATGGCAGGGTGACGACTGATGTTACTATAAGTAACTGCACCTACCAGCCAAGCCGGTAGGAGAATGTGCAGAAATGATTCATGGAGAGGCCAAATTCACAGCACTGCACTGGTGAGAGTTTTCTACAAGACCATTTATATTTTATGACAGCAACAAGCACCATGTCAAGCGACAAAGAAAGTAACTAATGTTTATTTTAGTGTAACTTTCATGTGGCCCTCCATCTATTGTTTCTGCAAACCAGCTATAGAAAAGCAAATAAAAAAGTGCAACACAAGCTAAAATTATTTTTCTTGATAGCAATATGGATAAAGTGCATGCAAGAAGCACATGTATTTTATCTAGAGGTGACTTTAGAGGTTATATTAGTTACCTTATGTTTTAAAAGTTAAAACAATTGAATTGCATATTATCGTGTGTAAACAATGTTTACGTGCTGGTAGATATGCTAGACATATAGACAGACAGGCAGTTTTAACTAACCTGAGTTCTGAACCCAGTCAAGATATATAAAGTCGATACATTACACCATGTTAACATTTTGTAAAGATTGAAGTAGATCCAAACCCTCAACTTACTTGGGCTCTGAATTGTCATTCCTCCTATAACAACACAAAAAACATCAGTAAACATAAAATAAAGATAATAAAAATGTCCATACTTTAGACATCTTTAAAGTGTCTGCTAGAGTTTAGACAATTTATTTTATTGTTATGCCCAATATAATGTGTGTATTGTTTTATACATTGCTTATTTGCAATTATTATTATTGTTAATAATACAAAAATAGAAAGAATAGTAAGCAGAGTGACAGAAATTGTAACTACCTGGGTTTTGAGTTGTCATTTCACCTACAAAAACACAAAAAACATTCATCAAGTTAACATACATGAAGTCATTACATTACACCTGGTTTAAATGGTGCAATGGAATTGTGCAAGTAGATCAGACATTTAACTTACCTGGGTTTTGAGTTGTATTTCCTTTAATAAAAAGACAAAAATCTCATTACATATAAAATTAGAATAACAAATATCAATGCATTTAAAGGTGTATAATCACATTATATGACCATATAAAAAAGCGAGAAAAACCATTTGATCAAGATGGAATCACTGCTGCTTACCTTATTAAGGCTGCACTTAAAAAAATTAAAAAGTCTAGAGAGCTGTACTAAAACTAAATTTCTTTTTCTATACCCTTGTGTGTACAAAGTGATGAAATAAAATCTGTCTCAGTCTAAGATACAAAAATTATAAGTTATGTACACCAATGTTGTGCGAATTTATAATTAAAAAATGAGCTCAAAATTCAGTTCACACAGATGAAAATAAACTAGTTGATTTTCAAAAAATTAACTAAGTTTACAATCATTTAAATTGACTAGTTTAAGTTCATTTAGTAAATTAAATCACAGTCCTGCAAAATAGAAACTCAGATTTCACCCTTTAACTGTTTAATCATTATATATAGAAAGACATGAAAAATCATAATGGAGTCAAGGTATACTGTATGTGCAGTAAAGCCTTTATTTAGCCAAATTACACAGAACATCAGAAACATACAGGTGAATTCAGGCTCTGCTGAAAAGATCTATACCAAAAATTCTTTCTTATGTTCCTCATTCAGTCAAATATATTTTCCAAGATAGATAGGATGCTGTAATTCGACGTGTCACTTTATATTCTAAGTGGACGTGGCTGACTTCCAAGTGGGCACAGTTTGCACAAAAATGTGTTTTATTTTTGGCCAAGTCTCCCTTTTTTAGTTTCTCAATTTCATAGAAATGCAGGTAGGACATTAAATAATTCGACTGATCCAAAACTCTCATTTAAAGGTATAAACAGGTGGTCTAACGTTTGAAGGATGAAGTTCAAAATATGTGGGATTTGTCCTTATTGTTCTAACTCACGAATGGAAATAATGATTGGTCTAATATGTCAAATGTTTGGCACTGAAATCTGATTTGGTGTAACATTTTAATTAAAGTCTTTGAAAGGGCGATGTTTAGATATTCAAAGAGGTAAAGTAAAATAAGACATGAAGAAGCTAGAATAAAGAGAAAAACAAAAACCTACGAACATACTATTAGAATAAATTAAATATAGAACATTTTGATAAACGTATTATAGATATGAAATATGTGGTACAAAATAGCTAATGTTATTCATAATAGATAAATAAATAGCTTATGATGATACAGCTAAATTTTAGTGTAAGATGACAGGCTACATTAAACTAAGTTAATAGGTTAGATTCTGGTCTTAAGGAGGATTATAAATGCATCTTTTATTGAGTTTGGACTGTTTTTACAGATAAAATATAATGAATAACCTTCTTTTGCAGGAAATACATTAATATGACGAACATTTTCCATGGGTAAAGACACAGTTCTAGTAGATGATACATAGCTGGAAATGGATAACTATATCTGCTAACAAGAGTAATACATCTTTAACAATATTATTTACAATAAGGGTAAACAGTGCAAATGAATTAGTTGATTGGAACATTTTAAAATTTTAATTCTCTTAAACATAAACTGCATTTGAATATGTTAAATTATACCAAAGTTGATTAAAGTAGTAGTGATATTAATGCTTCTTTAAAACTGACGATTTGGAAAAAACTGATGATTGGAATAAAATTTAATTGGCAGTGTTATATGACCCCTTATGGCCTATTATAATTAAATTGCAAAGTTCCAAGTTTTTCTATGGTGGAATCAATTATTAATTGACAGAGGGTCCTGAAATTAAGGTAAAGCACTTTGAATTAAAGCTAAAAGACTAATTGTAATTACGGTACACAGTTTACATGGTTATATCTTTATCTTTAATTTTATTGGTATAGTTGCTACTCTGCTATTTTTTGGCTGTTTTAATAAACAGCCAAAAAAATTATAATTATTTAGCCTTCTGGTTCCCATTTGAACAAATTAAATTGTTTTATTTTTTAATAGTCCTTAAAAATCATTAATTGAACGTCAAAGAAACAAAACTGTTAAAATACAAGACAAGATATGATAAATAATTATCTTTTGGGCAGATACAAAAAATATCCTTATTTTTGAAAAAACTAGTATTGACAAGTATGTTGTTCATATTCAGTGATGGGACTAACGGCGTTGAAAGTAACGGCGTTACTAACGCCGTTACCTTGTTTTACTAACGAGAATCTAACTAATTACTTTGACTGTAACTATAGTTACCATTGCAGACACCCTGTTACTGCGCGTTACTCAGGTCGCACAATGAACCTTTTTTCATGACAGGACTCGTGCGCGCCTTGTCATGAGAGAGGGGAGGATGAGAATGGCTGATGTATAGTGAGATTCCGTCTGTCAGTTGGGTAGGTGGGTGTTTCTGCTGGCGGGTGTTAACGTACAGCACACACAGAGAGATGGAGAGTGAGGATGACTCCAGCAGCAAAACAGCGTTTTCCAGATGGAAATACCGGTGTTACGTCGAGCTGCGTTTCCCCATCACATACGGTTTCCCCTGCATCTCCGCACAGCGCAGGCGGCACGATTTACAGCGCAAGCGACAGGAAACACGCATGCTCGCTAAAGACGTGCAACAGTCGCCCTGTACTCGCGCCACAGGAGAACTATGGAGAGCGTGAACTATCAAATGATAGCCTAAATGGAGAAAGGGAGAAATCTGGATGGATGGATGGATGGATGCTCTGCCTTTTCAACCTACTGTATTTTTTATTTTAAACATTATTTGATGGCCTTTGTGGCAGGGATGGAGATCCATATTTTATGTCACACACAGAGTATAGATCTAGATAGATAGATGGATAGATAAATGTTGCAGTATCTATAACAACCCAAACACACAGGATTTCAGAATTAGACATCCCCAGTTATTAATTTCATAAACTCACCAGATCTGAATGCCCTGTTAAAAAACTTCACATCGCGTTCCCCCCTGATGTCATTTACGTTGAGTTGCAAATAAATGCAAAACTATCTGCAGGTTCTTGTCTTTGTCGTCCTCTCTATTCAGCTGGCTTCTGTTACTGTACTCAAGTAGATTTTTCTGATATTTTTACTTTACTTTATTACTTATTTTTATGGCGACTTTTTACTTCTACTCCTTAAATTTTTACACAACTATCTGTACTTTCTACTCCTTACATTTTAAAAAATTGGCTCGTTACTTTAGTTTTGAATCATTTCAATGGAGTTACCGTTATTATTTTCACGTCATCAATACCAAATTAGATCTAATTGGATTGGAATCTACGTTGCATTTGACGCACCACTACAAGATGAATCGGCAGATTATTCATTCGTGGCAAATCATTGCAGCTTGGTGGCGGAGGCGTTAGCATAGTAGTATGGACGACGAGATGATTGAAAATGAACACAACGGAGATCTAGTCCTATTGGCAGACATCCATTTAAAATGTAGGCAATGGCATGAAAAAAGTGGTTTCTACTTTTACTTTTATACTTTAAGTAAATTTACAAGCCTGTACTTTGTCACTTTTACTTAAGTAAAGAGGTTTAATCAGTATTTCCACTTTTACCAGAGTATTTTTTAAAACAAGTAACTGTACTTTTACTCTTATACGGAAAGTGAGTACTTTTGCCATCTCTGTTCATATGAGATACAATAACTGGCATATTTAGTTACCACACATCCACATTTAGGCTTATTTAGCTCAGGTTCTAATACAAAAACCTAAACTTGGATTACATGCCCCTCTAATTTAAAGCTAAGGAATGCATTTCTTGGCAGGCATGTTTTTCAAAATAACAATTTTCAGCCCTTTGTGCTATTGGCTGATGCAGTCAGCGCTATTCACTTCTCTGATAGGGCACTCTCACACACAGCCAGCCTCTCTTACACTCTGTCATTCATTCAGTGAGATACAAAGCATTTATTACAGAGGGAAATGTGAGGGAGAGATAGAAAAAAATCTGTAACTCCGTTTGTTAACATGTAAATAATAAATAAAGAAGATTTTCAACACAATTATATACCAGGATCTTCCAAAAATACTTATTTGGGTAACCAGAGTGAGGCGCATAAATAAAAAGTCATATAATGTGACTATGTACTTTTAGACTGTGTGATACAATTTAACAACCTCCACATTACCTGATGTCTGAGTTGTCCCTTTACCTACAGAAAAAACAGTTATGGTGAAACATAAATAAAGCTCAGAGCAACAACTTTTAATTAAAACATTTGTTTCACAACATTAGTTAAAATTAGTCATAATTTACTTTTTTTATTCAAAACTAATATATCCCTAGAATACCAGAATATAATTTATACATTAAAAAAGTTTTAAAAATCAATTCATAGATATGTAAACATTTACTTCTTGTTATAATCCCAATGAAGAATTAAGAATTAAGGAGCAATAAAAAAACATTGGAGCTTATGCATTAGTAGCTTTGTAATAGAGCTGAGAAATAGCTTCATCTCAGCATGACATTTCTCATATTCAAGCCCCTAAAAAAAATACAAAAAGATGAAAATCAGTCAAACTCATTGTTGCCAGCTTAAGGGGACTTAAATAAGGCACACAGAGGTCGCTGTTTTCCTTTTGAACAGGTAGTTTAAACCTATTTTAATGTAAACAAAGGTTAACATGACATCAGGACCTAACATTATGGAACGACAGCAGAGAAGCATGAGTGTGCCACTTGCTGTCAGGATGTAGTTAAAGGTATAGTGGAGGATTTACACATAAAAAAAAAAAAAAAAAACTTCCTCTCCAATTAAAAAAAATAAATTAAAAAATGCACATGCACAACCCTGTACCCGCTCCCGGGAGGGAACGCCTATTAAACGTTTGAGAGCATTTACAAGCCGATTTCTCCTGGTGCACGCTCTGTTTAAAAGTTGCTGTTTGCATTGCTCCTACAAGCTAACTTTCCAAAAGAAGATTTGCAATTTTTCCACTATGTGAGACTCGCTATTGATCAGTAATAATGGGGACAAGCACGTAGGACGACCACTTATTTTGATGATCCACCCAGAAAAATAACATCCTCCACTATAACTTAAATTTTTTTAGATTGCACATTTTGTTTAACTATCCTAAATAAATAAATTCAAGTAGTTTATTTGCTTTGAGATGTTTTTCTTTATTCAACTTTTTTCTGTGTAATATATGAGTATACTGTTTTATTGACTATGTACACTATTTGATTTTATTTATCTTTATTTTCATTTATATTTGAATGTTAAAGCTGTGTTTTTTTAGTTCAATAGATTGATTACAGTTTTCATATTTCATGTTTCATTGGATTCATTCATATAGATATATTTATTTAAGGTTGATTAGAGTGGGTACTCACCAATAATTGACAGAAGAAGTACAGGTAGTATTATTTTCCCCACCATCCTGCAAAAGTCTAAAGTGAACCCTGATAAAACAAAGAGTATAACAAAAAATGATTTTAGGATGAACTAATGATGTTGATCCAAGAATTTATGAAACAAAACCACTTTGTTATCTGCTGATTTAACAAAGTATATCACGATTAATACTGTTAATAAAATATTTTTTGTGGCAAACAAACAATCAAAAGTTTTACCTTCACTATGTGCCTCTCTAGTCTGTTTAATAATAGAATGAGGATGCGACAAGGTTATATACATCAATAGCTGGCACAAATCCAATGTTTAGTTTTGCATGAAAGAACAACGCCAATGCTTCCTCATATTTAAGCATAGTGAGGTTTCTTCCCAGAGAAAAGGATATGCATATTTAAACCTGATTTTAAGTGTACGACAGGTATAACAAGTTTTGATGATTAGCAACAATGACATTGCTCTTTTTCAGAGACCGCTGCCGTCAGTTGTTCTCTAATAAGTGAAAAGCAAAGGGCGATACATGCAATAGACACATAAAGGATGCAGACTTTTAAAACGAAAGACATAAATTCAATAGACAATTTTTTTAAATTAAAACTACTGCTATCACATAAATATACAAAAATATATACGACCAACAAAAAAAATCAAAGAAAAAATTTTGCAATCAAGGCCCTCCTTAAATCATACCGGCCCCAACACTTCCTCTCCGGTCGAAGCACCCACCTGCGATAGATATCTACACCCCAGACCAGAAAATTTATGAATTTTTTTTATTTTTTATACAGGAGATCACACTTATGATGGCACATTATATTTGTGTGTTTGCGTTTAGCTGCAACTCTCCCTCAGAAATTATATTGAAACAGGAAAGGGTCTTTTGCTTTCCTTAAAGAAAGTGTGTATTTTAGGATTATTCTGAGAAAATGACAGTTCTAGTTTTGTATTGTTTATCTAAAGAGGTTGGATTCAAAATATTTTACAACAAAGCCACTTAATATAAAAATATATTTTTGTTTGAAATGATTACACGTGTCAATAAACCATATATTTTTTTTAACAAAAAGTAAAAGAAGAAGAACAAAGAAGAAAACATATGTCCATAGCTGTATATTGGTATTTATTCTCCAGGTGCACAGTTTTTATATTGCTAAAACACTTTACAGTTCAGTATTTTTATTTTTATTTTTTATCTTTTAACTCTTCACTAGTATGTTATTCTGATACATTTTTCTATGGTACATATTTGTGTGCCATTTCTTTTCTATAATCTTTTTGCTGCCGTAAACACCAGAATCTTCCCATTGTTGGACAATAGAGGGATTTTCTATTCTATTCTATTCTATTCTATTCTATTCTATTCTATTCTAAAAAAATGAAACTTTAGCAAATTCTAGTTTAAACTCAATCTTTGGGAGTTTGATAAAGCAAAACAAGTATTTGAAAGCTTTATTTACATATTCTGGATATGTTTCATTGTTGAAAGCTGTGATAGGCTGGTGTGGATTCAAGCATTCCAGTCACTTCTCTTCACTTGGCACGCCTTTTTAACATGTTGGTTTTGTACTTGAAGCCTTTATCATTTCTCTGCCAGGAATTGAGAAGTAGACTAACCGGTCTTGTATTCATAGTGTTGTTAAAAGCTGAGGAGAACTCATGAAACATATCAAGTGCAAAGAAATGCGGCTGTAATTATGTCTAGTTATTTTACCACACCTCTGAAAAAGTTGTTTGTTTTTACTATTTTGCTTGGTTATACCTACATAGCTTTTTGTCATTCTAAGGCATGTACCAGAGGAGAGACTTCCTTACTCCACACCTTTAGCAGTACCTTTTTTAAATGATTTGTTATATATACACCCTGTTTCAGTTGACCCCACAGCTTCTCATTTAGTTGAACATCTAGGCTTTGACTCATTTATAGACTTTCTCTATTTATTATGTTTCAGTTAGAACTTAGTGAATTTACACCCTCTGATACAGCATGATTCCTTGTAAACAGACCAAGTCCCACTGCAACAAAGAATTCCTAAACAATGACATACCTTCATAGTTTACAGTTGGCTTGATATTATTTACCTGGAATGTTTTATTTGGTTTTATGCCAAACGTGTCCTCTGTTCTGGGTCAAATAATTAAAGCTAGAACTCATCCTTCTAATTAAGATAACTTCACAACTCATGATCTTTGTCTACATTTAGTCTCACAAACTCAGCTGTTGCATTCTCACTTTTATTTTAGAGCAAAGCTTTCCTATTTGCCTCCATTAATGTTAAACTTGTACAGGTTCTTTGTAATTGCAAAAGTGTGTTGTTTTGCAGCATGCCTTTACAAGCACATCAAGTTTAACTTGCTGCCAGTGTCTTAGTAAAATAAGGTAGATAAACCTGGTTCAATGTCAGGGACTCTTTCCCTGATCTTAAAGGGCCTTTAACATTTCCCCAAAACATCTACAGGAAATTATGTATCAATTTTGCTATATCAATTTTAAGCGTTTTTTTTTTTTTTTTGCCTGTTTGTTATTATGCAGGAATACTTGGAAATGAGCTACCAAACACAAATTTCACTCAGTAGTTAAGAGAGGCATTTTTTTTCAATCTATTTTTACAACTGAAAATCCTCGCATAACACAATCAATTATCAGTGTTATTAAGTTTACTGCATGAAATAAAGATTTTCATGATGATGTTAAGGATGATGTAAGGAGATGAAAATGAAGAAGGAATGTTGCCTGGGAGCAGTTGCTTGAAGACTAAACTAACCGGCACCATAAGGAATGATTTAAAAGTGTTGTGGGGCGAGCCAGTACTAGTTGTAAAATGCTATAGTGTTTATTGACTGTAACTGTAATTAAAAAAATCATTTGCTTTGGCCACATTCAGATTATAGTAATTTCTGCCCTGGTCCTGCCCTGTATTATCATCTCTTTTTCTCTCCAACTATCACCAGAATATAAAGGGAGCCCTACAGTAATTGTGTAAATCTTTCTTTTCTATTTCCTGCTTGGAGTGGAGAAATCTAGATTGCGTCTACATCTACAACTTTGCTGTTGATGCCCTCTTCTGGGCGAGGAGTGTAATATTATGTGACCAAATTTTTCAACAATTCTACTATAAAAGTTTGGAAGTAGTTGTTTACAACTCAAATAATTACCATTATTGCTTGTAGATTATTCTAAATAGTGTGTTTATGTTTTGAGTCATGCTTTTATTCTGTGCAAGCTCCCTTATATGGCCATTAGTTTTCCAGTAAATAAGTAATTTGTTTTGTGGGATGTTTTGCTGTACAGAAGATTGCTGCATTTCAAGTAATGCATGACAACATAAGAAAGAACATGAAGTTTTATTTTTATAAAAACTAGATAGGATTTTGGAGAATGGGTTGGAGAAAGTCTTCTGATTAATCATATGCTGTCCCTACCATGTGTATGCCTTCTTTCATCAGCTAGACAACAATGTTCCAATAAACAGACATGTCCTCTTTGGTTTCTTGCTTGGTTAATGAAGGATGGCCTTTGACCATTGCATTTTTTTGACCATTGTAAGAGGACAAATCCTGTCCAAACACAATCACAAATGAATGTTTCTCTGGAATTACGTTATACCATCTTGGACCTATTGCTTTCGCTAGTTCCCTTACCAAAAAATATAGCAAAAACAACCACAAGACAGAGCTATGGTGATTTACAAAAAAATCATTTAGTATAATTTAGAAAAGGCAGAACAACTCACAATATTCAGAGTAAGGCAAATTTTAGTGACTTAAAGAGGTTAGAGCCTCACTTTTACTTGTTTTTTGAATATATGTGAGAGATTTAGATTCATTCATTCATTGATTCTTCATCTACTACTTTGCTGTTTATGCCCTCTTCTGGATGAGGAGTGTATGATCAGTATTTGGATTAAAATCTACTGATGTCTAAACTATTTAGTCTTTATGTCTTGTTTGAGTGAACATTACTTCTGCATCTAAAACAGAATACTAGTGTTCGATTTTAAAGGCTGCATCCTCCCAGGACCCGGTCTATCTGGACCGGATCCTTCAAGGTCCGTGAAAATAAGGAGACCTGAAGAGTTTTGGCAGCGGATTCAAACAGGTCTAACCTTCCTCGTTTTCCATCACCATAAGCTCTGTCGCCACGCAACTGTGAGAGTTGACACATAAAGCAGGAAAATAATAACTGTTTATTATTATTTACTTTTTCTTTTTTTATTGTAAATTGAACAAAGACTGCACACATGAGAATACAGAATGGAATAGAGGTAAGTAAGTAAATCTAAACAATGTACCGGTATGTATATCTGCTAAATCTCTTATATTCAACAACAAAAAATACTTAGTTAAGCAAATTGTGCAAAATAGCTATTAAAAACTAAAAGGCATATTAGATTCATAGTCCTCACAATGCAGATATATAGAATCTGATTTCAGCAGATCCTATTTACAGAGTAACACATAAAAACTTTTCGATATATCAATATTACCCGCCACATATCTGACTGATTTAAAAATACTTTCATTCATTTCAGATGGAACTATTCACATACTTGTATTAGAAGAAACTGCACTTACAATATTTACCACTGTTCGGCGCTAAGTACCTTTCTCCTCTGAGCATGGAAAGCTTGGACCATAGGCAAACCTTGGACAATGAATCACTGGACATGTGCAACTAGATATACATCAGGGTGTCAATAAATAATGTGATTATGGTACTAATATAATAATTTATACCGTTAACTCACTAAAGAATGATAATACACATCTTTGGAAAATGTGAAATGCAGAATTTGTACAATGTAGAAATTCTGCATTTGCTGCTTTTTACATTTTCTCTGTTAAACTGCTTCTCTGACGTCATCATCGGATGTCCTCAGAGCAGTCCGGCAAAATATGATTAAACCATGTTTATTTGCATTTTAGTTGATTCTTTCTTTAGATTATGCACTATATACCATAATGTTAACACGCTAGGAAAACATACAACTCAAAAAGACTTGATTTATGTTTAAATCCGAAGCCGAAAAAGTTAGCGTGGGATCCCATTTCTGGAACAAATCGGGGACAGATGAGTGATACAATAGAAAGAATTTTAATACATTTATTTTCTCAGGAAATACATTATTAACCTTTAATATATTATTGTTTAGTATGCTTACTATTTTTTGGGGAGCCAAAAAACATAATTTTTAGGTGTTCTTTAAAAAATGAAATTGAAGGTGACCCGGATGTATAATTGGTGGCGCCTGCTCAAATGAGCTAATGGTACGGATCGTGCTTCCGGGACGGATTGGGTAGTGACCACCGATCTCTATTTATACACTGGTTTGTT